ATTTTTTTTTTAATATATGCATGCTAAGAGAAAATATCTATAATTTTTAAAAATATTTTTTAGTTATAGACAGATGCAATATCTTTATTTTTTGATTCATTTTTATGTGGTGCTGAGGATCCAACCCAGTGCCTCACATGTACGAGGCAAGCACTCTGCCACTGAGCCTCAACCCCAGCCTCCTACAATTTATTTTCTATTTTTTCTCGCTTGTTGTTGTTGTTGTTTAGAGATGATATCTGGCTATGTTACCCAGGCTGGTCTCCAACTGAGACAGATAGGGATCATCACTGGGATTGAAGATTTTTAAAAAACTGAGGTTGACTAGGGGGATGGGGGAACCTCAAGATTAGGACATACTGGCCTTAGCCTCTTACTGGTCATTCACTGAAAGAATGATATGCAGAAAATATAGAAAAACACTAGAGGTCTTAACCCCCTAACCTATGTCAATCCTTAAAATTGACATGAACCTTTCTTTTTTTTTTTTTCTTTTCTTTCCTCCTCGCCCACACTTTTTTTTTAAAGAGAGAGTGAGTGAGAGAGAGAGAGAGAGAGAAAAAAATTTTTTAATATTTATTTTTTAGTTTTTGGCGAACACAACATCTTTGTTTGTATGTGGTGCTGAGGATTGAACCTGGGCCGCATGCATGCAGGCAAGCGCACTACCACTTGAGCTACATCTCCAGCCCTCGCCCACATTTTTAAACAATCTTATTGTAAAGAACAGGAAAGCCATTAGAGCAGTTGCACCATAAAAGTCAGAATATTGGCACCATAACCTCTCCAAGAGTAAACTATCTTTCACAAGGAAGAAATTTCTTGGAAAATAAAAATACCACACTCACACCAGTAAAAAGTTGCCAGATAGTAGCCCACCACCCCAGCAACCAGAATAAAAGCCTAGTCTTGTCTTTTGTTCAGGGAGCAGCCTGATCTATCAGTGCTATATCTCCTTGGGGGAAACACTCCCATTGAAGCTTTGCCTGTGTTTGTACTCTTTGGCTTGGTTTCATTAGTACTGTCATAGGACCAAAAGTTCCTGGCTCCAGCATTACAACTTCTGGGCTCACGCCATCCTCCTCTCTCAGCCTCCCAAATGTTGGTACTACAGGCACACACCATCAAGCCCAGTAACTATTTTTTTTTCTATTAATCTGTAGAGAATACTAGCTAATAGAGGGGTGAAGGTTCAGAAGGTTCACTGGAATAAACTAATGATAAGTAAATTAATAGGAGAAAAGTTATATAAGTTATTAATATGTACAGTGGAGAATCACAAGAGCATTATTACTCAAATAACCCAGTGAGGTCCAGATGATTATGTGCCCTTCTTCATAAGGGAGGGGAAAGATGACAATTTGAGGAATAGCAAATGATTTTAGGTGAATAACTGGGCCCAAAGTTCAGACAATAGTTAGTAAATGGCTCTCTTTGGGAATCTTTTTTTTTTATTAATTAATTAATTTTAAAATTTTTTATTTTTTTATCTCTTTGGGAATCTAATGGGCCTAGGAGACTGACAATAACTTGTGACAAAAATCTGTCTGGGTGTGGTTATATTATTTTATCTTCTTCCTTCAAATATAAGTTTATTTAATGAAAACTCAGGGAAGGGACCAAAGATGATTAACTCTTTTCTTCTTTGGTGGGGCAATCTTTGGGCAGATTAATAAGCATCACAAGTAAAGTATCTTCCAGCATTTGCTGTTTTTCAAGGGCCGTTAATTTAAAATAATCAGCATTCCAGGGTGCCATATATTGGGATGAATTTCCCTGGGCTCCTTCAAGGACATAATCCTACTTTTTTTCCCCCAGTAATAGGGCTCAAACCCAGGGCCTTGAACATGCTAAGCACACGCTCTACCACTGAATGACACCCCTAGTTAAAAAATAAATAAATAACCCAGAGTTAATATCCAGGAAAAAAGTATGAAGCCAGGTGTTGTGGTGCATGCCTATAATCCCAGCAGCTGAGGAGGCAGAAGAAGGAGGAAGATTACAAGTTTAAAGCCAGCCTCACCAACTCAGGGAGACACTATCTCAAAATAAAAAGTAAACAGGACTGGTGATGTGGCTCAGTGGTTAAGCACCTCCAGGTTCAATCCCAGGTACCAAAAAAGAAAAAAAGTGTGAAGGATGCATATGCACAAAAAAAGATCAAGAAGACTGAAGTAAAGGTACATAATTTTAACATGTCCCTGATCCCCAGTCTTCTTCCGCAAACTAAGACATTGTGGACTTTCTTCCACTTCTGGCCAATTACATAGAATGAAATAAATTCCTTTTGGGCTGGGGATGTGGCTCAAGCAGTAGTGCGCTTGCCTGGCATGCGTGCGGCCCGGGGTTCGATCCTCAGTACCACATACAAACAAAGATGTTGTGTCTGCCGAAAACTAAAAAATAAATAAATAAATATTAAAAAAAAAAAAAGTTACAATTGGGCTCCATGGTTAACAGCTGACAGGGGAAGGAAAGAAAGGGGAGAAGCTCTCCCCTTCTCAGGTGTTGTCCTTAAAGAGTTCAGAACAGTGAAAGAAAAAGCTGTTTTTATGTGAACCTTCTGCAGACTGTGAACTTCTGAGCACCTCCCTTTACATGCTGGGTATAAAACTCTGAAATTACCTGAACTCGGGGTGCAGGGGTTAATTGATTACAGCAAAAGCTGTGCCCTCTGAACCTGGCTGCACCCAAATAAAACTGTTTCCTGCTATCTTCGGTGCCTTGCCTCATTTGTCCTTACAACACCTAGACTTCAATATTTATGTACCTATATTATCATTCCCCATGTGTTAGTAAGATACATTGCGGTGATCAAAAAACCTGACAAGAATAATCTAGATGGGCTGGAGCTATAGCTCAGTGGCAGAGTGCTTGCCTAGCATGTGTGAGGCACTGGCTTCAATCCTTAGCATCACATAAAAATAAAAAAATAAAATATTTTTTTTAAAAAAAGACTAACACTTCCTCCAAAAAAGAACAACCTAGAGGAGGAAAAGTCTTTTTGCACTCACAGTCTCAGAGGTTCAGTCGATGGTTGGCAGACTCCATTGTTCTGGGTCTAAGTGAGACAGAACATCATGGCAGAAGGGCAGGTGAAAGAAAACTCTCAACTCATGGTAACTGGGAAGTGGGGAGAGAGAGAGAGAGACAGAGAAACCGAGCGAGAGACAGACAAAGTACCCAGGTAGGAGCCAGGGACAAGATATAATCCCAACTGATATGCCCCCAGTGACCTACTTTCTCCACCCACACTGTACCTACAGTTACCACCCAGTTATCCATTCCAAAAAAATTTTTTTAAGTAGGGCACTGTGTACACTTGCAATACCAGAGGCTTGGGAAGCTGAGACAGGAAGATTGTGAGTTCAAAGCTAACCTCAGCAACTTAGCAAAGCCCTAAGCAATTTAGAGAGACTCTGTCTCTAAATTAAAAAAAAAAAAAAAAAAAAAAGCGGTGTGGAGTGGGGGGGTAGGGGGGATGGGGGGATGCAGCTGGGAGTGTTGGGGATATAGCTCAGTGGTTAAGCGCCCTCTGGGTTCAGTCCAGGGTACCATATACACAAAAAAGAGCAAGTTATCAATAGGCTTTGGAAACCAAAATTTTTTGGTACTGGGGATTCAACTGAGGAGTGCTTTACCACTGAACCACATTCCTAGCCTTTTTATTTTGAGACAGGGTCTCAACAAGTTGCCTAAGGTCTCCAAGTTGCTGAGTCTGGCCACTAACTTGCAACTCTCCTGCCTCATCTTCCCAAATCGCTGACTTTACAGGCATACATCACCATGCCTGGCTTCCATTCAAATTATTAATCTATCAAATGGATCAATCCACTGATTAAATTAGAGCTCTCATGATCTAATCATTTCACCTCCAAATTTTTCTGCATTACTTAACATGACCTTTCAGGGGATACTGTCTATCTAAATCATAATACCTCATCAGATTGTAAAGTCCTGGGAACAGAGTGTGTACCTCAAAATCAGACCTCAAGAGTTGAGAAGACCTAAGAACTCAGCCAGTCCAACCATTCAGGTAAAGTTTGAGGGATCTCTACAATATTTTTCTAAGCAGAGGAACTGTTTCCCTTCTGCAGCAGCTTGTTCCTTTTGGGAAAAGTATAGTTGTAGAAAGTTTTCTGTAAATGGAATTATTTTTTTCAGATTTTGAAATTTAAACTCAGTCTTACTTCTTGGTAATCTACAGATAGATCAAATCCCTATTGTCACAGGACAGTTTATGAAATATTAGAACTCTCATATTTTTCCTTCAACCTTCTTTTTAAAAATTTTTTTATTAGTTGTTGATGGACCTTTATTTTATTTACTTATATATAGTGCTGAGAATCAAACCCAGTGCCTCACACATGCTAGGCAAGCACTCTACCACTGAGCTACAACCCTAGCCCTTCCTTCAATCTTCTAACCCAGTGCTTTTACACATTTTTAAAAAGTCAAATGATTTTCCTCCACTATACATCAATGTACCAGGTGTGGCATAAGGCGGCTGATCCTTTGGAAGGTATTTTATTGTCTTTATAATACGTCTTTCACTCTTTGGTTTTAAGCAAATGTAGTCAAGAAAACCATAGCAGCAGTGCATTGTGGCCCAGGCCTATAATACCAGTGATCTATCTGTGAGGCTGAGCCAGGAGGATTGAAAGTTTTAGGCCAGCCTCAGCAACTTGGTGTGAACCTCAGGATCTTTGTGAAACCCTGTCTCAAGATAAAAAATAAAGCTGCTGGGGATGTGGCTCAAGGGGTAGCGCGCTCGCCTGGCATGCGTGTGGCCCGGGTTGGATCCTCAGCACCACATACGAACAAAGATGTTGTGTCTGCCGAGAACTAAAAAATAAATATTAAAAAATTCTCTCTCTCTCTCTCTCTCTCTCTCTCTCTCTTAAAAAAAAAAAAAAAAAGGACTGGGAATGTAGCTCAGGGTAAAGTGCCCCTGGGTTAAATTCCCAGTACCAAAAATAAATAAAGACAATAACCAAGAATGCAGAACATAAATGTATTTTCTACCACAATTGTTCTCAACCCTATAAGATTTCCACATCTTCACTGCAAGTAGACAGTTTTTTGTTTTTTTTTAACACTGTTGAGATACCTCAGATGGGCAAAAGAAGACTTAGGATAAGCTTCCCCACTCTGCTGTGAAGACTCCATTCTCCAAGAAAGTTGATTTTCACCTCTGGGATCCTCTGGGCTTCTTTGGCTGAGTCAGAAATTCATATGCAGCCTGGATCTCCAGGAAATGCCTTTGGGCCTCCTCTCTCTGGTGCTGGTTGTGGTCGGGATGCCAGACCTTCACTAGCTCCCGGTAACTACGATGTATTTCTTCATTTGTTGCCCCATCTGAGAGGCCCAAAACCTTAGGGAAACAGAAGCTGACAAATTAGAATCTCACAATTTGTACATGGGTCTCTCCCTGCTCCTTTGCTAAAGCAGGCTATTAGTACCTCTGGAACAGTTCACCTCAGATTAGAATTCAAGTCTTTTGGGTTGGATTTTGAGCCCTCGCAGCACATAAACAAACCATTGAACAAAAAAGAAAAAAGAAAAAAAGAAAGTAAACCTACTCTGGTTATGGAGTCAGAATAAACGTTACCTTTGAAGTGGGAGTATAGATTGGGAAGGGGAATGAAAAAAGTTTCTTAGTGCTGTAAATGTTCCATGCCTTGATCTGAGCGGCATATACATAAAAATAGTGTATTTTATATATGTTATACCTCAATAAAAAGTAAATATATACACATAAATTTCTTTCCCTCACTACTAGTGTCCTGTACCTTTGCCCAATGTACAGTGTTCCAAAGAAGCTAGGACACCTTTCCTGAACCTGGCTATCTGAGATAAGAACAGTACTTCCATGTGGAGGGCACCAGCTCCAACAAGGCTTATCCTAACTCCCAGAGCCACCCAGGTTGGAATGAGAGGGAAGAAAGCCTTACCTGGTAAGCCAGCTGGCGCTTCTCATCCTGAAAACTGTGAACAAACTCATAGAACTTCTCCCACTCCTGGAAGTAGCGGTTGTTGATACCTGAATCCCCAACTAATAGCCACCAGATTTGGTAAGGCAGAAGGAGGACTGACTCCATAAGGCGGCCAAGAAGGGGGAAAAAGCTGAACCAACTTAAGAAGGAGCCAAGTGTTTCTGACACATAACTGAGAGTGGCAGCTGTGTTCCACAGGGTACTGTATGCCAGCGGGCCTGTGAAAGCAAGATAAGCCAAACCGAGCCGGTAGAGCCGCACACTGAGTGTCTCTGACTCCACTGAAGGTTTATAGCGGCGATGCTTCTGGGCTGTGATGCTGGCAGCCAAGCTGATGGGCAGGATGGCTATGGGGCGGCCATAGAATATAGGGGAAGTAAGAAATGCTGCTCCTAGAGTGTTCTTAAAATCTGAGGTTTGGTTGCCAATAGTAGCCACCAGCAAGACACCTAAGCCAACTGCCAGTGGGAGGCCCACAATGTAGAAGTTGGCCATGGAAGAAAAGCTAATCAGAGCCACAAGGCCAAAATATATGCCCACTATCATCTGGCCAAAAAAGCGAATGGGACTCAGTGGGGGTATCCCCTCTCTTGAGCTCTGTTTCTGTCCCTGGGCTCTGTTGGCTTGAGCTACAAAGTTTGGGAGATTCCAGAATTCCCAAAGCCAGCCCAGCCCACCTCCCCCCAGGGTAAGCATCCAGAGCAGGGCATGACTGTCCCTTCCCAAGTATAGGTGGTGAAGCCCAGCAGGGCCCCCTACAGCCCAAAGGACGTAGGTCACAAGGAGCCCTTTCGCCATCCTCTAGGGCAAGAACAAATCCAGTGGCATTTGATATTGCTCAGAGTGCAGAAATCTCAGGTCTTCTATGGGAATCATGCCCATCATAGCCTCAGAATTATCCTTAGACCCTAAGAGATGGAAAAAAAGAATCATAAGACTATATCCAGGTCCCATTTCTCTTTTCAGTAAAAGTTGAGTCCAGATCTGCCTTAGTATCCCTGAAATGCTAGTTGTCCCAAACCCTTTGTTCAGTACCTCAGTCCTATTCTTTATAATCATGACAACTACAAATTCAAAGGAAAAAAAATGTTTTAAGTACTTTCAGTTGAGAAACTGAGAACTCAGGGCAGGAATGAAAAAGCAGAAGCTTAAATTTCAGACCTGGAGAATGACTCACAGCAGAGTAGTATGGATAGAAAGGGCTGAACAGGATGACTTTCCAAAATTGCCACACATTTGTAAAGCCCCTGCCTAACCTTCTCCCTGTTCCCATTCTCAGCCCCAACTTCCACTATGCTCTCAGTCACTTGGCCCAGGTTTCAGCTCCTCTCCAGCCTTCCCATCTCTCCAGGACATAAAAATTTCCCACGAACTGGGTCCTGAATTCCCTCCACTTAAACATTCAGAGAAACATTTTGACTTATACCTTAGCACCTCACAACTCAGCTACCTCCTTCCAAGGCAGACTTGTCCAAAGCCACCAGGCAAATTTTCAGAATATCAAACCAAATGCCAAAGCTACCTGCCGGTCTGTCACCCCCAGCCAGCACCGCTAGACCCAGGTGGGGCGGCAGTACCTGGCCAAACCGGCTCCCAGACAGCGTCAGATCAGCTATTTTCTTCAACCACAGAATCAAAATGGCCCCTCTCATTCTGCTCCCACTTCCATCCAAGTGGACTTTGTCTCTGACCTCTATGTCACGGAAGTCGGAGGTCTGGGATTAGGCCCCTCCCTAAGGCCGTCCCAACCCCCTCGAAATCACCTGCCCGCCCTACACTCCTATCTTCCACCCTCTCGCTTACACTCAGTTGAAGGTTTCCAGGCTCACCCCGCCTTCTAGGGGCTGGCCCCACGCCCCACCTCAGTTAGAGCGCGCTTCCTGCAGCACCATGCTATGACCGCCAGGTGGCGGTGCCGCTCACGGAAGGGCGGGCCAGGGAGGATTCCAGACTCACCTTGTCGCGAGGCTGGGGTGCAGCAGGCAGCTCAGAGCTCTGGAGCAAGGAGGAGATTCCATCTGTAGTGCTAAAAAACAGGCTTTTGATTGCATCTTCTTATCCTCACAGTGGAAAGTGACCCTTTCCTCACCTCAGGCTGCACACTTCTCTAATCACTCTCTGCTGCCTTTCAAGAACTGCCACCTCCAGTTCCTCTAAGGCAAGAGACAACCACTGACAGGTTGGAAGGAAGGACCCCCTCACACAAAAATTTCTCTCGGTGCCCTGCCTTCAGGCCTTCCAGATAGGGGGTTATACGTAAAGGCCTGAGCCTGGGCCTGAACCCGAAAAGCCTCTGGATCCACTGGGAGCCCCGAGGTTGCTCTGTCCCGCCAGTTAGATATGGGTGAGGGAGAATCAGAACAAAAATAGAGGGTCAGAAATGCCCCCAGCAAGTCAGCAAAGCCACAGCCCAGGACTCAGGGGAAAAGTAATCGGTCTTCCTTCCACCTCTGCTCCGAAATGACTTCCTTTCAGTGACCCGGGCTCCATTCCTGCGTTAGGAAACCGTGACCTTGACAAATCATGACGCTTCTAGGGCCTCAATTTCTTCCTCTGTTAAAAAAAAAAAGGGAAAAAGAAAAGAAAGAAAGGAAGGAAGGAAGGAAGGAAGGAAGGAAGGAAGGAAGGAAGGAAGGAAAAAGAAACTGGGAGAGCTTCAATCTCTAAGATCTCCCAGTTTTGACTCGATGGAGGGGCGGGGCCCTGTAAGCCTCACTCGGGTCGCCTCCCAGCTGCAGGCAAAGTGCTGTGTTCCCTCCCACCTGCCTCCCCCCGCCCCTAGTCCTTATAACCTTTACCCGGGGAGACACTATATGGTCCCTCAGGGCTCTTTGAGGGGCCTAGACTGGGAGGGACAGAGAAGTGAAGCCCCAGACGCGCGCTGGGGGCGGGGGAGGACTGGACGCTGAATAATGAATGAGACTTAATTGGGCCCGCACTGCGCCGCGGCGCGCTAATCTTGGCAAACAGCGCGGGCGGCAGCGGCAGCCGCTGGACAAACAAACTAGCTCCCGGCGCAGGAAGAGGGGTGGGGATCGTAGCTGCGGAAGGGGGAAGGAAGGGGGAGGCCGCCCAGGCACCCTGGGCGCAGGGCGCAGCTAACTCTGCTGCTCGAGGAACCCAGGAGTGTAGGGCTGCGCTGGCCTCTCGGGGTTGGGGTAGAGGGAACTTGGGGTTCATCTCAGGAAGTGAGGACAGGGGAGGGAGAGAAGCGGATTGTGCTGGGAGAGACTGGGGCCCAAGGGCAATCTGAGAGCGAGGAAAAGATGGAGAAAAGAGTAGAGGGCGGAGGAAAGAGGTTGAAGTGAGCCAGGAAACAGCGCACCGGGGGAGGGGCGGCGGGGGAAGGGAAGCGGGAGATCTGTTACCGAAAGGAAAGGGAAGAGCGATGGAGGAACAAGTGAAGGGAGGTGCGAGGGGCTGAGAGAAGAGGAATTGGAGAAGAGTCAAGGAGAGGGATGGGAGGTGACCAGAATGAGAACGAGGGGGTGGCGGGGCGGGTGAGAGGCGCTTCTGCCTGCGCCTCGCCCCACCGCGCTCCCGCCCTAGCGCTCTCTCCAGCCGCCCGCACTCACTTTGTCACAATTAAGGGGCCGTCACTCGGCCCGGATTGTTTTCCCCAAATTGTTGTTCTATAAACTGGCGCGGGGTGGGAGGTAGGGGGATCTGACAAGCTGAAGCGGGAGGCGAGGGTCTGAGTGGAGGTGGGGGGCGTGGTGGTGTATTTACCAGCAACTGGATCTGGGTTGGCCGGGTGATTAGAGACCCACGAGGGAATTCTGGTTACTACTCTAGCCTCGCCAGTAGTCCCGCTTTCCCCTTCCTGGACCTTCTCGGCCTTGACTGCCTCGATTTCCCCACATAAGGAGACAAGGATTGGAGGTCAGGGGAGAAGGAAGCGTTTCTAGGTGTCGCCTGAACTTCCCTGACAGCCCCATTTTCTCTCACTCTTTGCACCCAGACCTCCCCCGTGATCTAGAACGCTTATTTAACCTGGCCGGTATGCCAGCCTTTCATCCTCACTAGACCTGGGTTGCCTCCTACCGCGCCCATTCCTTTTCGCTCCGGGCCCGTGTCCCTTGGTGTTCCAGGCCACCTTGTGATCCCTCAATTCCGCAAACATCTGTTGCGCACCTACTGAGCACCAAAGCTGAGCCAGCCTCCCCCACTGCCTCTCCCCCGCCACCCGCCCCTTCCTGGTCGGCCCGGCCTGTCGGCTCCGTGACAGCCGCCGCCGAAGCCCGGGCCCCGCGGGAGCGGCCGGAGAGGAGCCGCCGCATGGCTGGCTTCGACACCGGCCTCCCCGGCGGCTCCAGGGGCAACGAAGGGTGGCGGCCGCTGAAGCGAGACCGGTGCCGGCCAGGGGGGTTGGCAGGGCTATGCGGGGGAGGGGATAGGCCCTGGGCGAGCGTCCCTCTGGTTCTTTAAAGCTGTGGTTCTCATTCCGTCACCCTCGGGTCCCGGTCGGGCCCGGACCGCACCTAGCCTCGCGCTCCTGGGACGCGGTAGGCTCCCCGAGCTCCCTCCCCCAGCCCGGGTGATTTACACGCGGGCTCTGCGCAGCGGCCGCTTCCCAATCAGGAATATCGACCCCGGGCGGGGCCCTCAGGCCGCATCGATCCCTCTAAGGCTCGGGATTTAAAAATGTCAAATTTGCCTTTTCCAGGCGGGCGCAGGGGGCGGGGGCCAAGAGGAGGGCCGTTTGGAAGGGGGAACGAACAGCAGGGCATCGACCAGGCGCCTGTGCCCAGAATGAGAAGTGACCTGGCGTGCCCGGGCCCTGACACGGCCTGGCCATCCTTGGGTTCACAGTTGTCTCGGGGGCAAGAAGGAAGCCCTGCTCCCCCTGTCCAAACCTCAAGGGCCTCACTGTTGCGCTGGGGTAAACCTAGAGGGAGGAGCCCTAAGAGAAACAAAGACACCCGCCCCCCAAATATAGGAAGGCAAATTTGGAAGAAATCCCTTTCAGTGAAAGAAACATGCAGACACAAAGATTGGGGCTGGGGGCAAAGATATCGAGGCTCCAAAGATAACCTAGCCCAAAGGATCAGCAAGGCAAAGGGAAGATGCCTCAAGATCTCACTGAACAAAATAAGGGGATAAAGACCCAGAGTCATCTCAATTCTCTGCTCTGTAGGTCCAGGAGATTCAACACTGGGGAGGTAGAATTGGGAAAGATAATGGAAACAAAGCCAGACAAAGAAAGGGAAATATTATGGAAAAGGAATTTTGGAACCAACTAGTAATTAACTGGATCTAAGATCCAAAATGTTTGGGTCTCAGCAGTAGCTACTCCAAGTCCTAAGGAGGGTATTTTGGAGATTTGAAGGGTCTTCCTCTTCCCTTCCTGAGCATCATACAGATTTCTACTCAACACCCATCTCCTCTTCTCCCACCACCAGCTGGGGGAGACAGGATGGGTTGGAGATCACATCTTATATCAGACTCTATGGGAGTGTGAATACGTGTAGGGCTATGAAGAACTCTGATGGCAATTACTTCTTCTCAGGATTTAGCTACTAGGTCTCCAGACTTTGGGGGGGAAAAACTACTACTTTCAATGCTTGAGAAAGGTATGTTTGTGGTGGAGATGGTGGAAGGGAGCAGTTGTTCTGACCAGCACTCTCACAGTTAACATATATCACATACCCCTCAGCAGCACACCTCAGCTGTCACCGTGTGCACTGCCATTTCCTCCAGAACTAGAGACAGAACTGACAGCAAGCTTGGGGAGGGGCACACAAGGAGGGATGGTGGTTCATCCTCAGAAACACGAAGCTCACACCTTCACTAACAAAATCAGGCCAACACATCCCTAGCAATGACATACACAGTCACTGATCCAGATGTGCGATCCATACCTATCCATCCCTGCCACACACACCATTTCTGAGTGTGCAATCACTCACAATTTCTCCAAAATCAGTTCAAAACGCCCAATCCTAAGGACCGACGACACCCTTTCTAGACATTTGAGACCTTAAATTGCTTAACCTAGGGAGAGATTTTAGGTCCCCACCCTGCTTCACTAATTCTGCAACCAGTGCCAGCTCCAAAAACTGGGAAGCTGAGTTCAAGGAAGTCAAGTACTAGGGTCAAGGCGAAGAACCGGGAGCAGAGGGAACAGTGGGATTGTTAAATGCTCCCTTACTCCCCCTCCTGCCACTAGTCTCTTTCTTGGCACGTCCCTTTGCCTCCCGGGCGGGCCCGCCGCCCGCCTGTCAGTGGAGTAATGAATGCGCGCTCCGGGCCCCAGGCCCCCCTGGAGTCGTTCATCACTGCCAGCACCGCCCACCTCTCTGCCTAGTGCCAGGAGGGCTCAGCCGCCCCGGCTGCAAGAGCCCCTCTCCCCCCCACCTCGACCACTAATTGTCAGATTGAGATGTTGATTTGTCAACTGGGAGCCAGAGCCAAAGAATCAGCAGTAAAACCTGGACTCCTTGAACTTCCTCTTGAGTCCACTCAGGTTCTCCCGCACTTGGAGCTTTTGTTGATTTGATGTGGATGGGTTAGATTTCACTCAAGAGAGCGGGGCTAAGAAGCGCAGTGTCATTCTATTTCGATAGGAGGCGCATTAGGCTAGGGGCCTGGATTTCTCTAAGAGGGTTTGGTCCTGGGTTTAGCTTCACTTGTTCAGACTGGAGACCCTAAGGCTTCGTCCCCCTGTCTCCCAGCAGGGGGCGCCCTGGGCCACAATCCTCCTCTCTCCTGCAGTCTGTCTCGGCTTCCCCTCAGGAAGGCCCCAGGCCGTCTGCTCCCAGTCCCTTTTAGGGACGCCTGGGGCCAAAATCCTACTGGCCTCCGCTAGGCGCCTCAGGCCGCAGTCTTAAGCTCTCCCGCAGGAGGCGTACCTTCTGCAGGTCTGAGATCGCCCTGCCCTAGGCACATAGGCTGCAGCCCCAGCCCCGCCCTCTCCCGGTCCCCGGAGCTCCCTGGGCAGCCGACTGAGTGACGGGCGGCCGGTGATTATGCGGAAGGGGGAGCGGGGTGCGCCGCGGGCGGCAGCGCTGACCCTTCACATTTCCGATCCGCCGGGACCCTCATCCATCCGAAGCTGCTCTTTGTCTGGCCGCCTAATTGCCGGCGGACAGGATGGATGGCGGGACCGACAGCCGCGGAATCCCTAATAAAGGCCGCGGCCGCGGGGGAGGGAGTGAAAAGGGAGGGGGAGCAAGTGGGAAGGAATGGAAAGAGATGGGAGGAAGTACCGGGCTGCGGCCGCCGGCTCCGATGCTCTATATGCTGCATTCACTGAAACCAGGCCCGCCCAAGGTGCGGGACAAGGAGTATGGGGTCAACTCTCTTACAGAAGCAATGGTTGTGGTGCTCGTTAAGTCTGCTGCTTGTCAGAGAAGGGGAAAGAACTAGGGGTCCCAGGCAGAACTAGAGCCTATCTCCCTGAACCCTGCCCTGGAGTCTTCAAGCTTGACTCTACCTTCTGAGTGTCTGGCTCTCACCAATCTGCGTCTCTCCCTTGGCTCTTCGCACCCCATCTCCCTCCTCTCACCTGTCGGTCTCCCAGCGCTGCATCAAATACCCAGGCAGAGACGTGAGGGGTCTGACAGATGTCTGTGCTGTCAATCGCATTTGATTAACCCGAGACTGGAGTGGGCGAAGTGGTGGGGACAAGTGGGGTGCAAAGGGAAATGGAGAAGGAGGCAAAGACCAGAAGCCACACATAGGTAGGGGTTCAGGACCGCAGAAGGAAGTCAGTAGCATGCTTTGGCCTGATAGACACCTATCTGGGAAGCAAACTCTACCCACTCCCTGGGGTGCTGGGAGTCCAGCCCTGTTGTAACCCTTCACCTAAGTCTGCACAGAGCTGCGGAGCAAGGGGCACTGGCCAATGGCACTAGCGATTGCATCTGCCCTCTGTCTCACCGCAAGGTAAGTAGTCTCTATGAGGAGGCAAAGTGTGTGCAGGTCTTGGACCTCCACTGTTTCACCTCGGGGTTGCAGAAGGAGATCCAGTTTCAGGTCTCCCTTTTGCCCTTTAAGCAAATTTTTCTCTAGTTCATTTTTCTGTGTCCTCTCCTTCTCCAGCTAAACAGTTTCAAAATTTAGCCTTCCATTAGACCACAGTTTAGCCCTGTTGTGTGTCAAGAGTTGACAGTGTCAGGGCAGGGGGATATGGGGGACATGCAGAGCCAAGATCCTGCCGGTTGGCCTCACATATACAGATCTCCCCTGAGATCTCATCTTCCTGTCCTACTTCTCTCACCCTTCCATTGCCTCAGGTGCCATTTATTTCTTTTCCAGGGTACTGAAAAGGAAGCCAAAGGATCATAACTCCAATTTTAGGATCTCTTACAGGGTGATACTGGACAAGCCATTTCTCCTTTCTGGGCTCCATCTTCCTCATCGGTAAAATGGGAACAATATATCCATCCCTCAGGGATGCTGTGAAGGTATGAGAACCTTTGTGTTTAAAAGCCCTCAAATACAATAAATACTTAATAATGTTATTTCCCTTTTCATGCAATCCTCTGTCTTCTCAAATGGACAAAGTTCCATTCTCTTCCTACCCCTGTCTGGTACCAGGTAACCCAGGCTGCTTCTATCTGTATGTGAAATCTGATGTGGAGCTGAAAGCCAGAGTGTGGGAGAGGTTGGGGAAAACTTCTCCAAGATCAGGTCTAAAGGGGAGGAAGAAAAGTGCAAGTGCTTCCTTAGATCTTAAAGGAATTTCAGCCAGATAGTTCCTCTCTTCTTACAGATGAGGACATTGAGGCCTGTGCAAGTGATAGAGGCAGATCACACTGCCAGAATCTCCCCTCCCATGGGCCTTCTATTGCTCACCTGCTCACCCCTTTTTTTTCCCTTGAGGGGGTCTGGGTCAGTGACAAGAAGTGTGAGAGAAGGAAAAAAAGAAAGAATGATTTAAAAAAAAAAACACTTCAAGGAGCCAGGACCTTTCCGCTAGACTTCATAAAATTTTAACATAAAAACTTCCGCAGAGTAGAAGGCACATATCACATGCAAATAGTATGCTAATCACATGCTAATCCAAAGTCTGGCCCTCAGAACTCTAACAAACACCTGGCTATCACCCTGGAGAGAATTCTGGAGAGACCTCTGGGTTCCAGGACAGGTAAAGATGCATGCATTCCACTTAAGGTCAGGTAATGAAGTTAAAATTCATTTTAGGATTGTAGAGAAGAGTATCATTTGGGATTAGGGTCAGGGTTAGTGCAAAGTCAAGGGTAGAGGTTAATGCAAGATTTAGAGTGGGCTGTGCTTTCAAGTGGGAGAGCATAGCAGACTGTTAAAGTTGTCTTCTCCTCTCCCCTCTTCCCACCAACACTGCCCCCACCTTCCTGGTTTCTTCTTTGTCCTGCAGCAAACCATTCTCTGCCTACTTCCCATTCCTAAGCACATCAGCTCCCTGGGATCTCCCAGTTTGTCTACCAGAGAATCTTTGGTTAAATTGTCCAGAACTCCAGCCTGGGCCCCAACATTCCCTTTTAGCTTTCAGCCCCAGAGCACCTGCTGGTCTTGGCCATACTCAGGTTCCTCTTTGGACAAATGTGACAGCTGCAGGGGAAGCATTAAGGACCTGGTGAGCTGGCAGCTTCATTCCAGAGCGTGGGGAAAGAGCAACAGAACATGAATAAATTCATGGAGCTGGCCCCTCAGCTCCCTGTGAGCCAAGCCTGCTTCCCCCACCACACACACCCGCTGCCGCCTGCAGCCCTGCTGGTCACCGCAGCTCACAGCCTGGGCTGGGGATAGAAGAGGGGAAGATTTAGAGAGAAGAGGACTGGCACCTGAAAGAGTCTGAGGTGAGGGGTTCATAAGGGGGCACAGGGAGTGGCATAAGTGGGGTGGGAAGCATGTCTGGGCAGACAGGGCCTCTAGCAAGTGGAAAGGAGGTGGGGGTAAGGAGGAAGAAGAGAGGTGGCAGGACTTGGTGTGTATGGGACCTGAGACTCAGGCAGGGGAGAATGGTGTGAGCCCAGGCCTGCTCTCTCTGATCCATCCATCATCCAGCCTCGGGGAGCAGATCTGGAATTAGACATGCACGGGCCTACACGGTCCTCAGCCCCCCCACCCCCGGAAGACAAATGGTGACAAAGACCTTGAATAAAATTTGTATTTATGGTTGGAGGGGAAGGCCCTTCCCCCACTGTCAATCCTTTCTCTTCCAATCCTTTCAGCCACATAAGGACCTCCCACCATCCACAACACAGGCCCAGCCTCAGCATCATTATGAGGTGTGTGTGTGTGTGGGGGGGCATTCAGGGAAGAATTACAGGAAAGGAGGGATGAAGAAATCACATTCTACATCAACAATTGTACCCTGGGGTGCCTTGTACCCTCCATTTTACACAACACATTCCAGGCATCATTCTCCTGGTTTACCCTACTCTTTAAGAGACCTTTGCCTCTGCAGAACTCTAGGGTCTCCAAACAACGCCACCTTGTCAGGTCTAGAACTCCCTCTCCTAGCTTCTGGCCTGAGGTCTCCAGAGGGGCCAGGCCTAGGAAAGGATACAGCCAATATCTTCCTCTCTGGATCCTGATCTACCCAAGCCATTTTTCCCTCTTGGCCATCCTGAAAGCAGACACAGTCACCTCTTAAGGTGCCTAGCATCTAATCTACATTTAAGTTGCATAAATTTGTGTAACCAACCAAACATCCATTATCGGGGTCTAACTTCTCTGGGCTTCCTTGGACAGCAGACATATGGGGAAAGAGGAGGGGGCTGAGACTTCTGGGGCTGGACAACTCTGGGACTAGGGCAGAGGTGGAGTTGAGCTGGATTGGGCAGGGCAAATGAGATTAGACCTACATTCTGACTTTCTCCCCAGGAGACTCCCTACTCTTCAATCCTGAGATAGGAAAAATGAGGTCCCAAATTTGTGGGGTCCCAAATTTGTGGGATAAGAGGTGGACGAGTACAAATACCTCCCTTCAAACAGCCCTCACACAAACAAACACAAAGACTAGACACAATCCACAATCCCACTCACCCAGGACACACAAGGCCAGGATTCCGTGGCCACTTCCACACTTTCCAGCGCACTGTCACAATGCACAGGCCCAGAGTCTACCACTCGGCTGGCAGAACCGCCCCGCCCCCTCTTCTTCCCTACAGTTGATATGTCACATTGGAGTCCGAACACGGACCTGGGTGTCTCTCTGCAGCGCGCCATTTACATTTCTCTCTGGATCTGTCAACCTGTCTCAGCTCCAGTCTCTCTCTCTCTGTCTCTGTCTCTCCCTCTCCCCCTCTGGAGCTGTCAGTTAGTCTCTTTTCTTTTCGCAGCTTTGTCTCTGTCTCTAGGTCTCTATCTGGTTTTCTTTCTCTTTGATTTCTCCGTCACCTTCTCTGCTTTTCTGTCAGTTTCCTGCTCGCTCCCCCAAGCTGGTCTGTTTCTCCCCGCTCTCCCAAAACTCTACTGCGTAGCGCCCCCAAACCCTGGGGTCAGGGTGGGAGTGGTTGGAATTTTGCCTTTTCCAGTTCAGGTCAACAAGTATCTATTGAACCCTTTACCATGTTAACTAACACGCGGTATTTACTTGAGATCGTGGAGGGGTATATGGTGGCAAATTTCTATATTTTCTCGCTTTTCTTGTTTTGATTTTCGTTTGTGGTAATTCCCCTCTCTCCGCCTCTTTTTAGCTCCTCAGTCCACCTCTGTCTTCTCTATCTGGACTCCTTTTTATCCTATCGCTGTTTCTGGCTTTTTCGGGGCTCTGAGAATGCCAAACTCCCTATAGAATGTAAAAGTAAAGATAAGGTCTGTGACCAGGAATCCCTGCGGAACCCTCAAAGCTAGCCAGGAACGTAGGAGAGGGGAAGAGGGGCACCCTGAATGTGTGTGTGTGTGGGGGGGTTGTGTGAAGCAACCCTGCCTGCCCCGCCCCCGCGCTTCCCACACTGGGCACCAGGGGTCGCTCAGCCTTCGGCCACTTATAGTGGCTCCCGCCGCGCGGCGACTCACACCACCCGCACTGCCGCCGGGGGAAGAAGGGGAGGAAGGTTAGGGACGCAGAGAGGGAGAGCGATTGCAGGAGAGAGACGCCAGGCCAGGGCTCTAGCAAAGGCTGCGGCCGTGGCTGGAGGAGGAAGGTGGATGAGTGCTTTCCAAGAGGTAGAGCGCAAAACCTAGGAGAAGGTCGCGTCCAGTGGGCGCTACCCGCAGCTCAGATAGAACCCGGGACGTCCGGGGCGCGGGGAGTAGTCCCTGCTCCAGCCAGGAGCGATTCATTCGTATGGGTAGCCTAAGACTTAGACATCGCCATCCGTGAAAAAGCAGCTCTTTGGAGAGCAGGTATCCTAGACCTGTAAGAAACCAGCCGTCCAAGAAGCCGTGGATTCAGGCGTCCCGGATCGTTAAGACTGCACAGGAGGGTAATAGAAAACCACGGGTTCTCAACAGTCTGGAGCTGCCCCTGGCCCACCCCACTGGGAGACTTCCGCTTTGACCGACGGTTTGGGGAACGGCACCGTTGCGGCGGGCGCCCACAGGGGCCGGGGGGCCGGGCGCGACCGTCGGGGGGATACAGACCCAGGCCCGAGCCGGGCCACAGCCTCCTGGGCCCGCGGCGAGCCCCGGGCCTCTGCCGCCATTGCGCCCAAAAGTGAGGAGGATTTGCTGGCCCTGGCCGCGTCGCGGCTGAGCCGCCGCAAGCGGGTGGCAGGCGCGGCCGTCGGGGTGGCCATGGTGCTACTGCTACTGGTGGCCATCCCGCTGCTGGTGCACAGCTCCCGCGGGCCGGCGCACTATGAGATGTTGGGTCGCTGCCGCATGGTGTGTGACCCACATGGGTCCCGAGGACAGGGATCCGACAGCACTTCTGCTTCTGTGCCACCCTTTCCCCCAGGTGCCAAGGGGGAGGTGGGCCGGCGCGGGAAGGCAGGATTGCGGGGGCCCCCGGGACCCCCAGGTCCCAGAGGGCCCCCAGGAGAGCCCGGCAGGCCAGGTCCCCCTGGCCCTCCGGGCCCAGGCCCCGGCGGGGCAGTGTCCCCAGCGGGTTACGTGCCTCGAATTGCCTTCTATGCGGGCCTTCGGCGGCCTCATGAGGGTTATGAGGTACTGCGTTTTGACGACGTGGTGACCAACGTGGGCAACGCTTATGAGGCAGCCAGCGGCAAGTTCACCTGTCCCATGCCTGGCGTCTACTTTTTTGCTTACCACGTGCTCATGCGCGGCGGCGACGGCACTAGCATGTGGGCGGATTTGATGAAGAATGGACAGGTGAGATGCCCTTTTCCTACCTAGTGTCATATCTGACTGGTAGCCTCCTAAATCTCCATTCATTCTTTCCACAACTTAGTTCCTATCCCAGACAGCATCAGGGAATCCAGGAATGCCAGGCTGCCAAGAACTTAACAGGTTCATTTAGCCAAAAAAGGATTGGGGGCCAGAGAAAGAAAATCACCTGCCCAGGGTCTCACAGGGTGTGAGGCATGGTGTTAGAATTAAAACCCAGGTCTCCAAACTTAATGATTCTGCAGCAGTGACCTCACACTCCAGCTTTAGGCAACCACACCAAGGGTCTTTGGTATCTTACCCTACCATTCAGCCTCTTTTTTAGTTATATCTTGAGCAGCCTTCTCTCTTGAAGGCAGCCTTCCTAGCCTTTGGCTGTTCCAGCCCTGGTAAGGGTGAACTACCTGGAATCTGGCTCTTTGGAATTAGAATGGAATCCATGTCTCAGGGATGGGCAGTTGGCAGCCAGTTCTTGTGGGCCATTCATTTTGGATTTTCAAGGAAGGAAAAGGTGAGAGAGAGAGAGAGAGAGAGAAACACTTGCTTGCTCACTTGCCAGACAGAGTCTGGGGCCAAGCCTAGACTCATTGTTACCCTCAGCTAATATTGAATATCTGCAGGTAGAGATGGGACATGGTCCAACAGTCCAGGGACCAATTAAGTTGTGGAAGGAAAGATTTGGAGGAGAAAGAAGGCAAGGAATAGGGAGATATTAGGCCTTGAACCATGGCCTGATTTGTAGGCCCCAAATCCTCTGTAGCAACCTCTGAGCCTCCAGCTTCAGATGCTTGCTGCCCCTGTGGTCAGAGTCATTGCCACCTTGTTTAGGGAAAATAGCCTCAAGGACTCAGCTCCAGACACACAAAGGTGGAAAAATGCCGAAGGCTGAGGTGGAGGAAGCTGCCTGGGTGACATTCAGGCCAAAGGGGAGATTGGGCTGAATGGTGACCTCTGAATGCTGCAACGGAGGGAGTTAAGTAGGCCTGCTTCTTGGGGCTCAATCTGAGCCTTTGGCTCTGCAAGAATTTAATGCCCTCCCTGCCCAAGAGGACCCCACTGATAGCAACCTCCCACTCTTGCTTTGGGGTCTCATCCTGCAGGACCTCCCTAGGAACCCAAGGAAAGGGATTTGGAGTGCCTGCGTGTCTGTGTGTGGGAGAGGCAGTATAGAGGTGTAAGGAAATGAGAATGTGTGCATATTTGAGTGTGTTTGTGGGTAGGGAGTATAAAGGTATGAGTAGAGTGATGGCGTCTATCTGCATTTGGCACCAAGTAGGCATGCTTGGTCTATGCTGGAAGCCTAGAAGAAGGCCAAAGGGGCAAGTATGTATTTAGAGTGTGTTGGTTTGGGAGGGGGGTGGGAATTGCACGATTCCCACTCTGTATTCCATGGCGCGGGCTCTGCAGCCCTGGGGATGGTAAATAATGATTAGAATAATGATGAATAATTAATAAGTTAATAACCGGCCCGGTGGGACAGAAAAAGGGGGAATGGGGAGGGGGTTGGCTGCTGGAGGTGACTGGCTTGAGGCCATAGGATAGGATAGGCCTCCTGTTCCAGCTGAAGGCGACCCCCCACGTGGGGAAACCAGCGGGGCCCGCTGCTCCACTGGGAAACCCCCACGCCCCAGAGGCCAGAGCATAGCAGTACATCTTCCCAGGGCCGGCACCCTGTGGCACTCTTGGAGACACACCTATTGCCCTAGCAGGGAAGCAAACACAAATTTAGGACTAACAGGAGGTCTGAGCCGGCACGGATCCTTATAAATTATCCAGCAGGTTGATTTTATTTTTTAAGTGAGAATAATAATAGCAACCCCTATTTAACATTTTCTGTATGCAAACCACTCTTTTGAATAGAATCTTGTAACTCATTAAATTCCAAAAACTTCATGAGGTAGGTTCTATTAGTACCCCCATGTTACAGCTCAAATTGAGGCCCAGAGAAGACCTAATGTGTGCCCCTCAGTCACACAGCTAATGAATGGCAGAGCCTGAAGAACCAGCCCAGTGATGTCCTACCCTTGTCCTTCCAATACTGACAGCCCACTGCCCTTCAGCGCCTTTCCCATGCCAAACAGCATCCACTGGGTCTGTCCCCTGGACTGCCCCAGCGCTGCGCAAAGCTTGACTAGGTGGTTTTCCTCTCTTTTCTGGATAGGTCCGGGCCAGCGCCATTGCTCAGGATGCAGACCAGAACTACGACTATGCCAGCAACAGCGTCATTCTGCACCTGGATGTGGGCGACGAGGTCTTCATCAAACTGGACGGCGGGAAGGTGCATGGCGGCAACACCAACAAATACAGCACCTTCTCAGGCTTCATCATCTACCCGGACTGAGCTGGGCACCATTCCCCCTGCACCCTTGCTCGCTTACCCTTTGGCTCCAGCCCTCACCCACCTCCTGGGGTCCTACCCAAGGCAACACCCTATCATTTGAGAACCGGCCATGGCGGGGTGGAACCTCCTGCTCCTGGAGGCACCCTAAATAGGCTAACTCTTGGGACTTGAGGGTAGGGAGGGGAAGAGGCCAGAGGAGGAGCAAAGCGGCTTAGGGAGGGACTATCCCATGCACAGGTGTGCCAGTGAAAGCTGAGAGGTGTTGGCCCTCCTCTCTTTGCCAGTAGCTGGGAGGCAGCCTCACTAGTGAAGCTCAGAAGCCCTGTCAACTTGTTAGGGAAAGACAGAAAAAGGAACCCCTCTAGTGAACAGGGTAGAGGCTGGTCCTCGATAATGACAGTTTTCTCTTGCCACGCCATCTCCTCCTCTCTCATCTCCATTTTCAGGCTCCAGCTTTGGCAGCCTTCCTGTTAACTGGAGGGACCAGTGAATTCTTTCCTCACATTCAAAACTCATTTTGTATAGTCCCCATTACACTCCTCTCTGGGCTAGGCCCTGGGGCTACAGCTGCTGTTGCCTCTTCTAATAAAGTAAGGTTGGGGGATTGTGTGTGGCTGTTTAACTTGGTGCAGAGTGAGGGGAAAGTGGCCCTTCCCCCCGCCCCCCCAAGGACTCCCACTCTTCAGTATCAATCTGTCAGGATTAGTTTTTCCTGGCAAGGTCTGCCTATGAGAGAGACAAAGAAGACAGCTCAAGTTTCTGTTCTGCTGTGAAAAGGAGGAATTATCAGCTCCAGGAGAACTTTGGGGCCTGCCTCTGTAGGCCTGGGTGATAACCAGTCAGACTGATGCTAACAAAGGAGAATTCCAAAGATCTGGGTATTATGCTCCTGCCTTTCCACCTAGGGCAGGAAGACAGGTGGTTACAGGGTCTTGCTATGTTGTCCAGGCTGCTCTTCAGCTCCTGGATTCAAACAATCCTGCTTCAGCCTCCTGAGTATCTGGGAGTACTGGTGCCGGCCACTGCAAGGAACAGTGAGGAAGTTCCAGCAGAGGAGCTCTAAGGGATGAGGGAATAGTTCCTAGAATTGGAACTGATCTCAAGGCTCAAGGAGATGATTCTGAAGCTGCCCACGACTGAGCTTGCTGAGGGGGTGGGCTGGTCAGGAATGGGAAAGCTTCCTCCCTCCAGGCTGGCTTCCATCCTCTAAGCTATAACACACTGCCACCATGTGGGCAATTGGAGAGCAACAGCAGTGGTTGCCCCATTTGAACGCTGAAAACTCACTGGCTGGACATTTGGACACTTTAGAAAATTTATTGAAGGACAAAAGGATGTTGGCTCCCAATCCCATGGGCAGACCAACAATAAATAAGGGCTAAAGGAAAGGGGGGTAAGGTTGGCAGGACTGGAGTGGAGTAGGTGGAGGGAGGGGCCTCATGATGGAGAGCCCTGAGGGGATGCAGGATGAACTGGAATGAAACACTGGAGAAAGAGAGAGAAACATTGTTATATCCCATTGCCTCTTAGAAAAGGAGCCAAGGCCTGCTGCCACGTGCCTCCGCAACCCCACCCCACTTTCTGAAGGTTTGCTGTGCAAACACAGCATGGCCATGGACTATAGGCTCACCAGGGCATCCTGCCACTCAAGCACTGTGGCTACAGGGTTGGTGCAGACCCGGGTGGGTCCTGGGGGAGGGGCTCGGCTGGCGTAGAAGGCACACTCATCATCCAAGCGAGTCTCATGAGAGCAGTGAATGGTGGAGAGACATGCTTTAAGGCGCTGCCTCAGGGCCAGTGTCCGAGGGCCCAGATTGCTAGGGCCTGAGAGTCATGAAGAGTTTAGAGAAGCTCTGGAGTCCCATACCCTTACCATGTACTTCCCTTTTCCCTCCCACAAAGGGCCAAGCCAATTAGGGCACAAGGCTAGAGAAGTAGTTCCTCCCTTATTCCCAAGGGATCCAGGCTGGGACAGGTGGGATAACATTGCAGGGAAGAAGGCATGTTACCATGGGGTGTGGGGCAGGGCCTCACATCCAGTGAAAAAGATAGGACTTTCTTTGAATCCATCTCTTCCCTACCAACTCCTTACCTGCCTGGCCTGCCAAGGGCCTCAGAGACTGGAGTGAATGGATAGGGAGGCTGGCACAAAGTGGGTGTTGAGAAGAGAAGGTCAGGCTGGTGGTTGCAGGAGCCCCCTGACTGCAGCAGGACCATGGGCTGGACTCTGGGCTTCCAGGTTCCAGGGAGCGGGTCTCTGAAACCTCCAGCTCTACCCTAGGGCAAGTCTCTGGGGATCCAGTCTGCCCCTGGGGGCTGGGTTGCAAGGGTGCAGGCTCTGCTGGAAGGCACGACTCTGGTATCTCAGGCTGTTCCTGGAAGGAAGTCTCTGGTATCTCTAGTTCAGTCCTGCAGCAGGACTCTGGGGGGCCTGGGTCTATTGGTGGGCAGGACTGTGCCACCTCAGGCTCTGTCTCAGGGCAGGACTGTGCCACCTCAGGCTCTGTCTCAGGGCAGGACTGTGGTTCCTCACACTCCTCTGAAAGGATGGGCTCTGGAATCCCAGAGTGCTGTGATAATTCAGGAAGGTGGGATGTCCCAGAATTATGCTCTGGGCCATTCAGAGTTCTAGAAATCTCATCCAGCAGGGGCTGAAGTTCAGCAATATCCAAAGAGGAGGATCCATTTAAAGGAGTGTACTTGCCCATTGCCAGTCCTTCTATCTCCTGTTGCAACAACTGCTGCAGGATATTGATGCGCTATGGTGGGAGAGTATGCCCCAGTGTGAAATTAAGAAGCAGGTTCACAGTCTACCCACAGTTCTCTACCCCTATCCTCCCAAATCCCCCTTTCCCAGCTCTGTTATTGCCCAACAGTCATCAAAGCTGTTGTCCTCACAGACCCACCTGTATCTTTAGCTTTTGGAGGTTGAGGATCCTGTTGGGGTGAGGTCCAGAAGAACTTGCCACAGGTGGTTTCCCAGTCCCCTCCTGCAATCTTATACAACTGTCCTGATCAAACAAACGTACTGCAATCTGTTCCTGCCACAAAAAAGGAAAGGGGGCAGGTGAGAAAGCCAAGTAGTGGCAGGAAAATCAGTCTGAGTGCTATGCTCAGGAGGAAGGGATCAAAGTTCCTGATTGAGAAGTCCTGGACCTAGACTAGGAGGTGCAGGAGAAGCAGGGAGGATACAGAGGCATGCAACTTCTGAAGACAAACAGCATACTGGCCTCAAACTGCCAAGCCTCCAAGTCAATGGGACAGCAAAAGGGCTTTTAGCATGGAAAGACTTCTGATACTTACCCAGGGCAGGGCAGTCTCTTCAGGGTAGGACTGAGGGGAGAGGCCACTCAACCATCGGGCCTGTGACATAAATGAGATGTCAGCAAGGCCCAGCACCCACAGATGGGACCCTTGTCTCTCTCTTAATTTTTCTTGTACCCATCCATCTCCTTCCTTCCCCAATTTTGGTCCATGCTAGCTACATCCACTGCCCTCTCTTACCTGATGAACTCTGGGGGCTGATGGGATGGGTGTGAATTGGGTTTTGGGTCGAATGGCGAGGCGACGCAACACTGAATGTGAAGTCTGGGGAGAGATGTGGATGGCTGAGCAGGAACAAAACCTTTACCTAGCAGGATCTCTAGCCAGACTGTTATGCCTTTGCCCAGCCTCTAGGAGTTGTTGATACAAACCACAGCTGGAAGAGCAGGAGAGGGTACACGCTGAGCCTGTCCAAAGGGTGATGGGCCAGTGACAGAAGGTGGTATCACATGGCCAGGAATGAACTGGGCAGGGGAGAGCATCAGGTGAGCATCATGGCTGTCCTATGGAGAGAAAAAAAGTAGAGAGTGATCTCTTTCCCCTTTGTTTTCCTGTCTTATTCTCACTGCAGCAGCCAATGTGATTTTTTTTTTTCAAGACTTAAGTCAAATCATGTCATTCTTGTATTCATTCCTTCTTCCCATGGCTTTCCATTCATTCCAAGTAAAAGCCAAGAGTGTGCACTTGTTTATAAGTCCTAACCTAATCTGATCCTGTTATTGCTGTAATCTCATCTCTCCTTACTCTGCTTCAATCTGACTGGCTTCTTTTTTTTTTTTTTAATATTTTAATTTTTGGATACCAGGTATTGAACTCAGGTGCACTCAACCACTGAGCCACATCCCCAGCCCTATTTTGTATTTTATTTAGAGACAAGGTCTAAGTCGTTTAGCACCTTGTTTTTGCTGAGGCTGGCTCTGAACTCTCAATCCTTCTGTCTCAGCCTCCTGAGCTGCTGGGATTACAAGTGTGCGCCACCTACCCCAGCTTTTGACTGGCCTCTCTTTTCTCCAAACACTAGGCACATTTTCTTCTTAGGGTCTTTGCATCTACAGCCCTTTTGGCTTGGAATGTTCTTCCCTACATATCTGCATGGCTCATGCCCTCAATTCCTATCTTCACTTAAACATTATCTTCTCCAAGAGAGTCCTCTGCCCAATCTACTTTAAATTGTGATAACAACTCCCTCAATCCCAATGTCCCTTTAGCACCTTTCTTTTTGATACCAGGAATTTAACCCAGGTGCTCTACCACTGAGCCACATAACCAGCCCTTTTTATTTTTGAGATAGCAAGCCCCTAAACAATTTAGTGGGAACCTAAGTTGCTGAGGCTGGCCTCAAATTTGTGATCCTCCTACCTCAGCCCTCCAAGTCACTGAGATTATAAGCATGTGCCATTATAGCAGATTAGCACCTTATTCTTTTTACAGAGAATAGCACCATCTGACATCCTATACATTTTACATATGTGCTTATTTTTTGTCTCTCTCTTCTAGAATATGCATAGTACAGACCCACACTCAGTAGCTGGTCAGTAAAATGTCTGTGGAATGAAGGGATGCCAAGGATCAGATGTGTCTTAACCTCAGGACTGATCTGAAGGTGATACAAATATATAGCAATTTGTGACTTCTCACCCCAGGCCCCAGATACCTGGTAAAAAGTAGTTCAGTCCCATTCTGAGAGGGGTTGGGCCCATTTGGGGCCAACTCAGACCTAATAACATCCTGAGGCCCAAGACTGCCTGGCATTACCCACAGTCCTCAATGTAGGCCACTGCAGTGAAATTCCCTAAGTATCTCCAGTACTCCCCACCCAGGAGGGTCCCATCTCACCCTGGTGTGTATTATCTCTCGGGTTTCTCTTAATGGTACTCGCTGGGCCAGACCCAGGAGGGCCCCTCCTCCTTCATCTGAGTTAGGGATAACCTCAGGTTCTCCTTTAGGGAGAGAGTAATAAGAAGACAGGAAATTTGCTGTAGTATCTAAAAACATGCATGAAAATCTGGGATAGGCCTTTGTAGCCTCTTAAGAAGGTACACCAGTTTAAGGGCCCCCATTTGCCCTTCAGGGCAAGGACCCATGCAGTATCACCTGAAAACCCAATACTACCTTGATAAGCACTTAGCAATCTGAAAACTGAGTGGGCTGTGGGAGTGGTAAGGGTGCTAGGGGCTAGGGACACAACAGAGAGTGGAAGGTCAATATTACAGAAGTGTCAAGGGATAGGGCAGAAATGGGGACACAAATATAAGTGGGTCAACCCCTGGACCATTCAGAAAGT